ATATCTTAGCTACAGCAACCAATTTATTATTCCTTTTAAGAGAGCCCTGGATTAAATTTTAGTATCTTTTCAGGAATATGTGGCAAATTTCTCATGGAACTTTTTTTAGCAACCTTGGACTAGTTTTATGAATGCTGACATGAAGCAGCTATAGCAAATAACAACTTTCCTTCTGAAATAGAACTGGTCCCAATTTATTATTCCACCTATTAAAGAACTTTAAGATATGAAGTGACAGAAGTGGTGCCTGGAGAGTTGGTGGAAAAGACTAAAATTGAACCTGATCAAGAATACATATGAATTCAAGGTCATACTATGGTGATCATGGCGCTAAATGTTATGCATGTTACCTGTATTGTGTTGGTTGACTGTCAATTGGTGGCACTATTTAAGTTATCCATCTTTCATTAGGAACAACTTAACAGGTAATTCTGCCTCTCCCTTGGCTTCTTTGTATGTGTGTGTGTGTGTGTGTAGGTTGGCTAGAGACAGATTTTTTTAATGCAGGGGGGTGATGTCTGTAGCCTTTTTAAAAAAAAGGTACTTTTTTTAAAAGGTCTTCTCTGCATCAATCCATTCTCAAACTTGGTTTGGGGGGTAAGTTGCCAAAATAACTCATCTACATATTTTCCTAGAATTGGATTATTTGTTCAGTTTCCAGTTGAGTCTTTTTTTAAATAAACTTTATTAGTCTTTTATATCTTTAAAAACCGAACCAAAAAATATGCATAACATTAACAGTGTGTGACATCTATCTCATAAACTTCTATTTCATACTTATTTACAAATATATACAATTTATACGAACATAAACCTTTAATCTGTAGGTTGTTTATCATTAATTCTTTCATCATCCACCTGTCTTAATTCAATCCAATCATACCATTTTCCCCAAATTCTATAATATTCAGACTCCTCTTTCTCTCGTAACCAGGGTTAATTTATCCATCTCAGCACACGCCATTATTTTTTGAATGATCAATCCGTCTGATGGTATATAATTGTGCTTCCAACATTAAGCGTATTCAATTCTAGCAGCTATTAAAATGTGTAATATTATATATTTTCCCATTTCTTTTTAAATATCCCTAACAAGAATAATTCTGATTCCAATTCTATTTGTCCCTTAAGGATCTCTTGAAACCATTTTTAAATTTTAAGCCAATACTTCTGGGCTTCTAAACAGACCACCACATATGATAAAAAGTACCCTCTTTCTTCTTGCACTTCCAACATGCCGGGTTCATGTTGGGATACATCTTTGCCAATCTCGCAGGAGGCAGGTACCATCTATAAAACATCTTATAAATGTTTTCTTTATATGAGGCCGATTTTGTTAAATTACAATTTAGGTTCCAAATATTCTCCCACTCTGTCAAATTTATTTTGTGTCCAATGTTTTGAGCCCAGGCTATCATACATCCCTTAACCACCTCTTCTTCCAGTTCTATGTCTAACAGATATTTATAGATTCTTGTGATATTTTTTTATCTGGACCTGTTAGGATTTTATCCAATTGTTGTAGTTCCAAATATATTCTGAAATCTTCTATGTCTTTTTTATACCTGTTTTGTAGCTGAAGATATGCCCACCAGTTGATGTGTATCCCTTGTTTTTGAAGGTCCTGGATCGATTTTAAATTTTCTTGTATGTCTAAAACATCGTTATATTTTGTCATTTTACATAAGTCTAAATTGTTTGGGTGTATCATAGCTTCCATTGTAGATAGCCAAATTGGAATTTTCATATAATGTTTCTTTCTAATTTTAATCCAGATTTGTAGTAGGGAATCTCCAATCAAATGCCTGTGAAAATATTGTTGTTTTTTAGTTCCTGTTTCCCACAAAAAGACATTCCATCCTCTTTGCAGGTCGTGGCCTTCTAGACTTAATATTCGCTTATTAGTTAGATTAACCCATTCTTTAATCCAGATTAACATTGTCACATTGTAGTATAATTCCCAATCTCTGCTTTTAATATCTTGTAGTGCTTTCATCTTTATTCTAGGTTTTTTTTGCCTAACCAAATAAATTTCACCGTAAGTTTATTAATCTCACTAAAAAGATTTTTCCCTAATTTAATGGAAATCATCTGAAATAAATACAGGAATTTGGGTAAGATGGACATTTTAATGGCTGCTATTCTTCCTAACAGTGATAATTGTAATTTAGCCCATAAATCTAAGCCTTTGTTTGTTGTATGAGTTTATTATAATTATTGTCCTTTATTGTTATGAACAGCCAGTTGAGTCTTATGTGCAATACTTCACAACAGAAAGTATATTATATGCAGGCATTATACCCTTTAAGGTCAGTGAGCACTATTAATAGATATTCAGCTCCAACCCAATCCTTTCCTATGTTGCTTTATCCTATTGTGTTTTCCCCTTTTTCCAAATAAATGAATTATTGCATCAAACTGTTCCTGTTTTTCATTGTGAAGACTGGTCAAAGATAAAGATATTTGATAACCAAAATTTCATATACAAACAAAATGTATATGTATAAATTTAAAGGTATCTTTAAAGATAAATGAAATATGCCGGTTTACTCAGGGACCAAACAGGGAGTTCCACACTAGAATTGGCTGAAGGATTGACAGCAGACTCCACCTTCCCTCCTTGTTCCTTGCTCTCCGCCCATCCATCTTTTTGGTTATCATATTGATGTATTCCAATTGTGTTCCTTTTTCAATGTTTATCTTATGGTTCTATTATTTTACTTCTGTTTTCACTCCTTTCATTTTCTACCTTATTATTTTAAGATGCTTAGAGTAGCCCCATGCACAATAGGAAGTAAATAAATTAACAAATAATAAACCTAAAGAAAAAGCATTTTTCCAATAGTGTTTAAAGCCAATCTTTTTTAGAGTCATATTTAAACCAGACCAATTTTGAATAGCATACTTATTTATTCATTTGTTTATGTAACAGCATACCTAATCTATGTGACTCTGGGTGGCTTATAAACAGACACGCACACACACACTAACCAAAAATAACTAAAATAATAATAACCAACAGAACCTGTGGAAGAGTGCAGTCAATCTTACTAACAGTGTCACCATTTTGCAGGTTGTACAATGCTACCAGATCCCAAAGCAGGGGGTAAAGCTATATTCTCAGCTGTTTCTGGAAGACCAGTAAATAACAAAGGTATTAGAAAGCAAAAAGTTTAAGAGATTCAATAAAAAAAACTTTATTTGAAATAAACTAAAATACAAACTGGAGATATTACAATAGCAATAATTAAACAGACTAATAAGAATTGAATTAATCTTTGTTGAAATACAGACCAAACTCTCCATACAAAACCAGTCTGTGGTTTCTTTCCAAGTTCCTTTAAATCCAAATGATTTTTTCCTAATTTATTTTCTTCCAATAAGAAAGTAATGAAATAATTCACTTTTTTGCAAGGTGTATAGAATAGCTTTCCTGTTCATATCATCGCCACACTAATGGTCCCTCCTATTTGCATAACTTTGTGGGAAAAATGTTGGATTTTCACTCATTTTCCTAGTGGTCTCCTGATTCAAGCAAGAGACTGATGCTTTATTTTTTTGTTTTTTTATCCCCCTCCCCCCGTTTTTGTGTCTTTCTCCAAATTTAATCTCTTTCCTTCTTTTCTTTTAGTCTCCCTCCAAACTAATTTTTTGTTTGATTGTAGCACAGCTCTGAATCCAGCTATTTTTAATCCTGAAACATCCTAATAAATAACTTTGGATAGGTACTTTGTGGCTTATGAACACCATCATGACCAGAATTTCCATCACTAAGTAAGGCAATTGTTGAATGAATAATGTGTGTGGTTTGCCATTAGTTTTGTCATGGGTAAGCAAATCAGTGCACTTCTTAAAATGATTCGGCTTTGCTTAACAGCAGCCAATTGAGAAGGTCCTAAATGGCAATCACATGACCCTAAGAGACTGCAGTCATCATAAATACATGTGCCTGAATTTTAATCAGATGACAGCGAGGATCTTGCAATGGTCTTAAGTGCAAGGATCAGTCACATTACTTTTTTCAGTGCTGTTATAACTTTGAATCCCTTAATAAGTGGTTGGAAATTGAGAATGAAATCCACACCCAGAGCCCAAAATCCCCTCCTTTCAGGCTGTTCTTTTACATGTAAATCTTAGAATAATGTGCATAACTGAAAGAAAACTGGTATCTTTCATCCTAGCAAAACTATGTAGGATTGATCATTTTTAAAAATTGCTTTGGTATTTTAATGCAAACTTGATTCAATTCTGTTTAAATTATTTATAATTTAAAAAACTAAAACTAATGGTTAGATATTGCAAGAAAGAAATCCCATACATATTGTCTATTTTAAATATTCACTAGAATGGAGTTTTAGTAATATGATAATACACTGATGAATATTTCTTCAGAACTGAAATACTATGGTCCCAACTCAAGGATTTTCACACATGCTTCCACCAAATACCACCCAGATTTACATTCTATAATGTAGGAAATCAGTAGTTATTTCTAGATTCAGTCTAGAACGTAATCAGTGCTATTTTCCTCAAAGACATCCTAAAAATATTTAAACACATACTTTTATCTAATACGTCAACTTTAAGAAGCATTTTGAGTTGATGCTAGAAAAGGGTTCAATAGTTTTATACTGCTGTGTGCTTGACCAGTAAACAAATCTAAACAGCAGCAAATAAAACTTAGATCTTGACTTTATTTCTATTTATTCCATTCTCCTTAATTCAACTTGTAATTAAAATTTCTTTTGTCAGTAAAATGATAAGAATATCTCAAGTATTTGATATGTTCAGAAAACATGTTATATTGAAAACAACCTATAGTAATTGTTGTGTTGGTAGCCACAGTGATCGAGGAATTTATCCAACAAATTACTGAAGAAGCAACACTTCTGAAAACAAAATTTGTTGATATAGTATCAAATGTCTATATTTTTCCCTAGTAATATGTTTTTCATAAAATAAGCCAAGTATGATATGTTGTAAAATAAATTATGGATCGGTGTATTCAGGAGATATTTTATTACCATATATTAAGCTTTACAAGTTTTACTGAAGCTCATTAAAAGCATTACAAAATTATAACCTTACAGAGAAGAAATTAATTGTATAACATAAAACATAAGACAAAAGAGGAATGGGGAATAAAGGGGAAAAGTCAAGACATAATCTACAAAAGGAAGCACTAATACTGATTAAAACTGGACAATAATTTCTTTGGAATGAGGGAAGACAGGTAAGTTTTCAGGGATGAAGTCAGAATTTAATTGCTTTTAAGAGTATGATGAAGATCAAAAGTGCAACACCAATACACAGGTTTGTTGTATATAGGCACAAACTAATGGAGAAAAACAACTGATATTATGCATAATATAAACTAACTTACAATAAGGCAGCACACAGTTTGTATTGCAACCTTGGCACTTACGTGATTGGATAATATTTGGCATAGCAGTGAAATGATACATAGAAGTTTTTTGTGTGGCTCTCCCCACATTTTTCTTTTTATATCAAAAGTACGCTACCCGTTTGAACCTTGACTTTTTAAAGTAGGTTTTCTGCTTGTAACGTTACCCTTGTAATGGTAATAGTAATCATATACTGTTCTTTTTTTAAAATAGAAATCATGTAGAAACAAGACCTTATGAAATTATCAGAAATAATTAAGTTCCTACTGAACTAATAAATTTAGTGATGGGCCTCTAGTGTCTTATGAGACAATATGATTCTAAAATTATGTTATTAATATTATTTGATTGTAGTATGCAATCAAAAAGTACTTTTTAAAGCTCTTTAAAAATTGTGCTAGTTGTTAAATTCAAAATTTTATAAATTACTTAATCTTTGCTAGAAGATCAGTATTACATAAATTTGGGAAGCATTTTTTTTAAAATGTAGCTCATTTGAATCACTTGAAACCAAGTCACCTACAGTCACGCCCCTACAAAACACTCCTTGTATTATTTTCATTAAATTTGACAGAAACAGTTATTTCATCAAAAATCTGAACATACTCCTGAGGCAAAATTTTCATTTAAAAAAAAAATTAAACAACACTATTTTGTAATTTGTGATATACAGTTATGCAATATATGTTATGTGTATTGATAACAATTTAAAATTAACTTCTTTAAAGTATTTTATAATGTTATAAATGGAACTTATTATGTTAACTACATATCATATATTGGCATTCATTTGCCTGTACATGTATATTTCCTGCCCTCATTTAAACTACTACAAAACACCAAACATTGGTGCTTACATTACTAAAAAATCTTCAGGTTAAAAAAAATCCCTAATACTAGGGTTTGTTTTTTTACATTTTAAAACAAGGATAATTTCTTTCTAAATTTGAATTAAAATAAAATTTAAATTTTATTAGGTGAACAAAGACATTTAAAGTGAATTTGCAAAGTAGAAAGAGCTTCTTTCAGAGTGCAATCATCAGGGATGTTTAATGTCAGTGAACTTTTTCCCCAATGAAACAGAAGGAAGGAAACAACAGCCAATCAATATGTGACATGGTGTAGAAATGTTAGCTAAAGTAAAAGCTAATAGTATTGACTACTGCTATTTATGCTATTTTTTTAAAAAAATTAACCATTCAATAACAATTTTAATGGAATTATTTGCATAGAACAGGGTTATACTTGTTAAAAAAGACTTGAGTAAGCATTGCAACACAAGATAAGGCACGTGTTTTTTTCTGTAATATATGAAATTCAGAAACAATTTTTAGGAGATGAATACTCCTACAAGGATGCCTGTTTTACCCTGTTCTACCTGAAGAATGCAAATAAGCAGCTGAACATAAAATAAAAAAAAATCTTAATCTTTTACAAGAAAGCCTTACCTGAAGCCCTAAAAAAGAAGAATTATACTTAGTAGAAATAGAAAGCTAAAGTAATATTTTTGCTTTCAAACAAACTACAGTAACAAAGAACAGCTATAAAATGCAGACTATTAATTTTTATAATGAATAACTTTTTTCCTACAAGTGCCTTTTGAAGATAATGAAGCTACTTTGTGAGGCACTTAGGCTAACTGTAAAGAAGTAATGTGATGAAATTTGTTGTACAAAACCTAAAACTGCATTTCATTTCTTTCTATCAAACTTTCTATTAAAGTGCTAGAACCTGAAGTGTAAAATAAAAGAAGAAATGGAAAATCATAAGCAAGTACGCAATTAAACTAAATGCTTTACTTGCTCTTCTGATTAGAACACCAGGTTCAAAAAAGCTTGAAGTAACGTATGAAATTTTTATGCTATTTCAAATAAGATTGTCAGAGTATCCATTTTATTTTTAAAACCATAAAACCATTTGCCTTATCTTATGCTCTAAATGTGATGCAGCGATTATATTACAATGGTGCATACTCTCACTGACATGTGCACACTTTTAGGCTATAGGAATAGCCTAACTTCCACATATAAATATCAAGTTTTGAATGACATATTCTATATGCATGCATATTAAGTGCAACATCTGATTTTCATTTTCTGATTTTAGAGTCTTGATCAAACTCTCTGCAAGACTTTGTTGCTGAACTACACAAAACCATTAGATGCTAAATCTGAGAATGATCTGGATTCTGTTGAACGATGAAGTGATTGAAGATGTGTCCCAGGTTGAGTGCTGACAGCATCTAATTGCTGTAGATAATTATCCTGCAAGCTTTCGTCAGCAAACATATTCTGAAACTGGAAAAACAGACAAACATTTATTAAATAGAAATCATCCAATCTATCTTAATCAGGTAAAAATGATATCACACCCAGAAAAAATAATTTTATTGCTTAAACAGAAAGAATTGGATTTAACTAATTGTCCCCATTGAAACAATATGAATTTATTCATCATAAGCCAACCTGATTTCAAATTAGTTAATTTAGGAGTAGTTAATCCCTCATGTCCCACTTTTCTATTGGACAATGCTTTTGTCTTATCCTCAGACCACTGTGGAGGAGTTATATTTAGTTATTCCATTATTAATAAAGTTGTATTTGTCTCTCTTTTCAACAAAAATCTTGCTTTATAAAATATCTATGACATTTTAATGATGCTGCTGTCTGGTCACAGTGTGACCAGAGTTATAGTGTGAACAGAGAGGCTATATTGGCTTGCACAGAGCTACCTGATTGTGGCTCTGAAGACAAAATAGACTTGCTCTTATATTCAGGTCCAGTGGCCATCTGTAAGCTGTTACACTATTAAACACAGGAAAAGATCACTCGCGGGTTACATCTTAGATTAGCTTATTATATTTTTCTCAGGGCCTGACAAATACATTTCAAAAAAATGTATTTCCTGTATATTTTATTATTTACTGTTACAGACTATGCCATTTGAAATATACTTGCACATCATTTTCTCTATTTCATATGCTATTTTTGAACCCTATTGGGTATCACTTGCTATTAGCCGTGCTATTTTTTGGGACTTGGCCAAGATTCTAAATGAGTGAATGAATATGCTGTCTGAGTGATTAAAAGGATATAGTATAGGGAAGAGTTTACAGGCACATCAATAGAGCTTCACTTATATGCCTCCTATGGCCCCTCCTACTATTTGAGTGTCATTTTCAGGCATTTTAAAAAGTAAATTTGAAACACATTTTCAAGAGCAGTTTGAAATAATTAAACACATAAATTTTTTTAAAAATGTTTCAGATTAACCCACTAAATATTCAAACAACCAGAAGCAGAACAAATGAATTGAAATTTCCAAGCACAATTTTTTTGAAGGATCATCTGTTAATTTTATACAATTCTGTTTTCTATATTTTGACTTACTATAGTAGTGATCACATTAAGGGTCAAAAACTCCATAAGACTGTTTTAAACGTATTATTTCTGTACCTTGTTTGATGGCTGTTGTTCCAATAATACAGGATCATACTGCATTTGCTCTGACCCATTTGCCTGGGTTTCAGATACACACTGATACATTGACAAAGCACCAGCATAGTATGACTCCGAAGTTTCTGTAACTTGCTGAGAGTTCTGCTCACAGGACTGACTTTCAGGGACTTGAAAACAGTTGAGAAAATCTAAATCGGAAGAACTCGAAAAAGTAGACACATTAAAGTTTTCAGTGAAAAAGTCTACCTCTGTAAAATCTGGGAATTGTGACATCATGCTGGTAGGTTGCTTGTAAGGAGTATATTCCCCTCTACAAGCATATGTTGCTGTACTGTCTTCAGATTTGTAAGGGAACTCCTGAGTTATTTCTTGTATGTCAGATAAGTCAAATGGCTGTATCTGCTCTTCAGAAGGGTTAAGAGTTGTGCTGCTGAGAGAGTTCCAGTTTCCGAACATCCCATTTACCTGCATAAGCTTCATCTTCTGGCACAGTTGTTGCTGTGGCAGCTGCTGTGGCAGCTGCTGCTCCATCATTGGTGGTATCTGCTGTTGATCTATTTGCTGCTGCATTAAACAAGCAGAATTCTGAAACATGGGATCCTGCTGCTGACAACTTGAATATAAGACATCTGTCTTATTTAAAGACTCTTGAACATAGGTCAAGATTTCATCAGTTATGTCAATATCTCTAATGTCATCCACACCAGCAAAATCATTCTTAAAAAACTCATCGTCCTGCGGAAAATTAAAGTCTATATTATCAAAGTCAGTTTCGAGCATATTCATGATACCGAACAATTCATTGTTTTTGATATCCTGAAAAAGCCCTACATTTTCTTCGGGAACCATCAAGTTACTATCTTGAGGACAGTCAGTCAGCTCTTGCTTGAGGATGCTATTATTCCCTACTGATAAAAGAGCATCCTGCCAATTTCTGGCCATCATGCTGCTCAATTCACATCTAGTATCTGCAAAAAAGTCCCTCTCAAGGGAGATTTTATTTGAAGCAGGTGGGCAAAGATAAACTGATTCATCCTGCTGCAACATTGCTCCCAAAAGTGAATTGGGATCAACAGATTCTTTGTACAGTGCAGCCTTGGCAGCAGCTCCTTTTCCAATACCACTTTTAACCTTTGTCTGAGATGAATCCATTATGCCAGGCTGAGGAAATGCTACCTCATACAATACAGCCTCACCTGTAGCAAACATGAAAGGCAACTTCATATTGCGCTTTCGTAAATGCTCTGCCCCCTCTTCATCTCTGAATTGAGAAACACAAAGAGAGTAAAATTAATTGAATTTCAGTATTGAAATATGCAATGAAATATCTACGTGTGCACAGAAATAATCTAATAAAATATGTTTAATAATTATAAATAATTATAATTAACTAGATTGTTAAAATGAGTTTGATCATGTATAAATTGTATAGATTAGGAACATGCAGGATTTTATGCAGAAGCTATAAATTATGAATACATAAGAAATATAAGCTAGTAAAAATAACACTGGCAGGATGGGGGAGAGGGCAGATAATTAAATTGATCACTATAATTCTTTGTGACCATACAAGAATTGTATTCCCAAACCAAGCTTATTTGCTTTTTTATTTTAAAACTAAAACTTACAATGTTTGGGATTTTTTGTTTACTTGTTTGTTTTTAAATGATGATTCTCCTTCCTCCAATACTATCACAGAGAATTTCTTTAAAAAATAAAACCCGGTATGATTATAAGAAGAGTGAATTAATATTCAGAAAGGGGAAATGATTGAGCATATTTATAATTTGTGCACATTTTATTTTCTATTTTTACTTCTGTGTGAAATGTATCCATTCATTCTTTAATGTCACAAGGGACAATTTTTTATCAACATTTATTGTGTGGATGCTTCCATTAATAATTTTATTAAGTTTTATATCCCCACTTTATTTTATACAAAGGATTCCTTTAATGGTTGATTCCTAAACATTGGCTTCTATGAAGCATTTTTGTTTCAAATCTAAAAGCATACAATAGTAGTTAATAGGGGAAAATATTTGAAATGAACAGCCATAAATCTTCATTACTTCGTTTACTTATGAGAGTATGAGAGTATAAAAAAATATTGCAACCACAAAGAGTTATATGAAATATAAAAAATCTGTTAGCAGCATTAATTATGTAATTAATCTGCCACTGCATTTGTGTAAAATGTAAGAGCAATTAAACACCAAGTGAATGTATTAAATTATTTTGTCATTAATATTATACTGTTATATTTTTATTTCCTTGTTTAGGCTGAGATCTTAAAAAATATTAAATTCTAATGAGTTTTTAAATAAACATTTTATTTTAGTCATAAGAACTCTCTGTGATAAACATTCTTCCAAGTAAGAGCCAGGCAGTTTGATATCTAAACCACATATGTTGAATTAAACTATGAGTCAAGTTTAATAACCCTAAGGAGCTCACGGATATTATGGGGATATTATGTCCCCAAAATATCACAGATCCATGTCAGACATTGTCTAATGTCACAACCTACCTTGAGGTTCCGATACCATTGTTAATACTAGTTATTTTATTTTTACCTTTTGTAAGGACGTATATAATTTGTTAGTCGTAATTAATTACTACTTTTGTTATTTAGCAGAGGGTTTTCTAGTAAGATTGGTAATACTAACTTATATATAGTAATTCAACCCTCCTCTACAGTCCCCAGAATATTTTAAATTCACATAATCAAAATTTTTCAGCAGATTATTTACTTTAAAACAAACCATATAAATTATATGAATTATGAACATTTTGGACTTTTCATCACCAAATACACCTCTCTGAAATAATAAGAAAAGAAGCCAGCCTGATCTATATTAGTATATGCTGGTTTATCTGATTTAGGAGTTGATAGTTATAATCTTATCTTGATAGCTACTTACGTAAGAGGTCTCTGGGTGGCAATGATATAATCTGGTCTTCCATTTTTATAAACTAGACGAGCATTTGCTTGAACCCAGGCCCATCGGTTTTCCTTGGTAAGAAGTCTAAACACTGTCATACCACTCTCTCCAGTTTTTATCACTAAAAATAAATACAGAAATATTTCAATTAATTTAACTAGATTTAACATTCAGATTTATTAGTATATTTTCATCAAATTCTTATGCAGCTGAGCCAAAACCATAACTTGGTGAAAACAAAATTGAAGACCTTAACACTCTTAAAATATCCTAATAATACTTACAGTAGGTCTGGCACCCAATAGATCAACTACTGTACATTTATTATAAATATTGTCTACCATTTATTAGAGGAGCAATATTTAAATAGGATAAAGATACTTGCTGCTCTGTATTGGTGAACCAGAGAACTACTTCTGAGAAAAAAAGAAACAGGATGACAATTCTTCCACTAAGAAAAGGGGAAGAGTGTCTCTGATAAAAACATTTTTAGTAGAAGTTCAACCAATCAACATAAAATGTTGATTTAAAAATATTTAAATACAGCAAAATACTGCAATACATTCTAAATTTTGCCTTTGGAAAAATGCTTTAATATATGCATTCTAACTGGATCTAGTGGCATAAAAGAAAGAAATACAGAGTGGGAAGCAAAAATAATGTGCATGAGCATATTAAAATATTGCCTTTTCCAACATAAACTTATATTTAGTGAAAGGAGGTGTCTAAAGGAAAGTTGAAAAGAAAATGTGTATTAGGATATATTTAAAAATATTCTGGCACTTATTTCTCTCCTTATCAAAACTTCATGAAGATATATTTCTTACTTCTGACATGGTTCTCAGCACAATAAAGCATATCGGCTGCATGGATAAACTGGTATCCTGTTCCTCTCATGCAAAGTTCTGCCTCACTGTAACCCAGCACAATTCTTCCCCTGTAAGATATATTTGATAGAATTTTTTATCAGTCACTCAGAGAATTTTTTTTTTTTTACTAACCACATTATCAGTATCAGCATTCAGTAGGTCAATGGGAAAGATCAGCTAAAAAGAAAGAACATTACTACAACTGTTCTTCACAACAGCATGAGTGGAAATGTTAGAGCATCTGTTTAAATAATGGGAAAAAGCAAAACACGGTCTGGCTGTCTGCAGTTACTATCTCAAGATATCAGTCCTTGAACTATACAGAATCAGCAGGGGCTGTTCTGACTAGGATTTATGACTTTTCCAAACCTTGGGGAAAAAGAAAAAAATGTTCTGGGGCATGTCACCCTCTAAGCAGAGATTAAGACAACTGTTTTACCTACTCCCAGAAGCAGAACAGGTTCTTGGGTGGGAGACAATGTTACAAACAATGCTTCCCTCCCTTTTAGTAATGCTCAAGAGACAATTCTAAAAGGGACGCGCCTTTCAGAATCCCCAAGAAAAGCCTTAAGAGTATGGACATCCCACTTTTATTTTTACAAGTTTTGTGGGCATGAGAAAAGAATGCATATTATTAACTAGTTGTGGTTGATGTTGAAATTGTCTGGAAATACTTGCTGGAAAAAAGTAAGATGAATATCAAATAAATAAATAAAACAATGTGGGGCAGAAAACTTAAAATAACATAATTTAGAGGATTTTGCTAACAGTTGTTATAGAAAAATGACCTATCCAAATGTAGCTACCTTCCTAAATATATGCCTAAAATCTATTCTTTGAAAAGTATAGTGGATTATGATTTTTCTTAGCAAATAATTCTTTATATAACAAATGAAAAGCAAATGGCATTGATGTTTTGAAAAACTATATGTACATGTTGAAATTATAGTATACAACTTAGCAAAAGATGTGCAACAATATTCATTATTTATTTATTTTACTTACTTTGCATCACATCCAATTGGTGTGAAGTCCAGCTTATGTTTAGTTCTGAAAATAAAATTCTTCGTACGAATTTCAAGAATGGAAGGTGGCTGAAGTGGAGTAGCCACTGCAAACAAAGCCAGTTGGGGCGATATAACAGTTCCATCTTTCCCTTTCTTGTTCTGACCATGGAGGAACTTTAATCGCCCTTGAAAATTCATAGCCTTTAGAAGAAAAAGCAAAGCTATAATCATATTATTTAGTTTTAATCCATATTATATCTTCACAAAAGACAACTGCAGTTAAAGAGAAAGTGAAAGAGAAATTTGCAATTCATTTATTATAGGTAGTCCTGGAGTTACAACTATTTGTTTAGTCATTGTTCAAAGTTATAATGGCACTGAAAAAAGTAGCTTATAATTGCTTTTCACTCTTATGACCACTATATTATCCCTATGGTCATGTGATCACAATTTGGGAGCTTGGCAACTGACATGTATTTATGACAATTGCACTGTCCCAAGTAATCACCATTTGTAACCTTCCCAGTCAGCTTCTGATAAGCAAAGTCAATGGGGGAAGCCAGATTCATTTAACAACTGCATGATTCACTTAACAATTGTGATTTGCTTAACAAATACAGCAAACAAGATTGTAAAATGGGGCAAAACTCATTTAATCATGGCTTAGTGGTGGAAATTTGGGGCTAAATTTTGATCTAAGTCAAAGACTATCTATATTAGTATCATAACACTTCTGTATATAGGTAGTCCTCTACTCACAACAATCCATTTAGTGATCATTCAGCATTGAAAAAAGTGACAATTTTCCACACTTATAACCCTTGCAGTATCTCCATGGTCACATGATCTTGGCAACTGGCATACATTTATTATGGTTTCAGTATCCCAGAGTATGTGATTACCTTCTACGACATTCCGACAATCAAAGTCTTTGAAGGGGGGACATAAGCACACCATCTTAAGGTTTAGCTTTAAAAAAACAACCCTTTTTTAATTGTAATTCTGGTCTTCCTTATATTCTTATAGAATGTGTTAAGATATCCATAAAGTAAAGGGCTTCTTGTGAACTGTTGAAGGGTCTGCTCTTATGATGGATTATCTCAAAGCCAAGTTTTTAGAACTAGTGTGGTGTGTTTAAAGCACCCGGAGAAACCAGGAAAGTGTAGCTCCAGTCTTATCTTAGGCATAAAGCTGGCTAAGTGACTTTGGGACAATTATTCTCTCTCAGCCCAACCCACCTCACAGGGTTGTTATGGTGAAAATAGGAGGCGGAAGGAGTGTTATGAATGTCCATTACCTTCAATTACTTATAATAGAAGTAAATTCAGGATAGGAAATTAACAGTAATTAAGAACTATTTTGACTTCAGAAAATTCATTCTTGCCTATCTAATAAGCAGGATATTGCTATTTCTAAACATTCCATTTTATTATGGAAATTATAAAGTTATGTGTTAACATAATAGCATTTTCTGCCTGCTATTTATTCTTTTCCAGATATTGAAGATTCATAGATCATAGTCTGCAATGTGTAAATTCTAGAAGTTAGCAATGTTTTAGTAACCTTTGTAATGTTTTGGCTATTTTCCTTTGCTTTGTTATTCACTGTAGTCTGTGTAGAAGTGAATTTGCAAATTAGTAATGCAAAAGGTCAAGGAAATCCTTCTTGCATCCAGAATGCATGTATATCTGATTTTCATTATTTCCTATGCTATTTAGAACTATATTTTCAGAATTCTTTCAAAAATCTTCTTGCAGTTTTTCTGTAGATTGCTGTGCTAGTAGCCTCCACACACACCCAGCTCCATTTACTTTTCTGGGAATGAAGGAAAATTGATCAAACAAAGAAGACTTCTAATACTTCCCTATAATGGAATACTTTTTCAATTTCATAAGTTTTTCGGCCCTTCTTTTCCTTTTACGCAGTAGTTGCTGCTAGTAATATGCCACAATTGCAGATTTCTTAGGACACATTAAATATACTATAACCAATTTGCAACATAGTCTTGACTTACCAAATTTAGCTACTTTCAAACACTCAGTACGTCACCAATTTTTAATGACCGTTTGTGGTAAACACAATTTTGTATACTTAATTAACACCTATTATGTATTATTTTGTGGTAACAGGCTTTTATATGTGTAGGATAAGGAAAGTGTGGTAGAGAGGCTATAAAACAAAGATTTGTAATAGAGCATTGCCATCATGAGAAATTAAATCATTCATTGAAATCACATAACTATGTACCCACCAAAAATCCAGATGAATTATCCAAGAGACAGCGTAATCTACAAATGAAATTTCGCTCCATGAAGGATGAATTTTCTGGGGGTAGCTGATCGGGGTTGTAATATGTTGCTATTTGTTGAAAGCCATTATCTCCTATAGGGGAAAAAAAATAACCTTAGAACTTCTTTGAAAAATATCTGCATTATAAAACTTGCGATTTAAAGGAGTCTCTGCCCAACCAGACTTTGAATGGCATGTCAAGAGTACTACAAAAAGGGATGCAGCAGCAAAAAGTGAGAGAAAAATAATTAAGTGAAATATTAATACTTTTGTATTCAATGAATTTCATTATTATTTAATTGTGACATTTTATTTCTGTCACACGCATAGCTATAAATTTCAGATTTTAAAAAATTAGATTGTTTCATGTGGAAAGGTATGTATTCTTAGGTTTTAGGAAGTTTTTTTTTTCCTGAAAAACACATATAATTTTTTGTTCATAACATAAAACTTCCATTGTTTTCCCACAGTTGATTTTTTTTGTTTTCAATATTATTTATTCACTTCTAAACACACAAATTTAACTGATGTATATTTTTAATTTTAATTCTATCTATCTATCTATCTATCTATCTATCTATCTATCTATCTATCTATCT